AGTTGGAGCCAAGACAAAGAAAAGGCTCCACCAAAAAGCCTTCCCCATAGCACACCTTGAGGATAAAACCTATAATTCTAAAACACAAACAAAAACCCTCCCCTCCCTTGACCCCATCTAATGGAGCCTCACACTCAAAGGGGATCTTTCACCCCTGGCATGCTTTTATAGCCCATTTCCATGGACATCTGGCCTTGATGAGGTCCAAAGTGGTCTCACCTGGCCTGACCCCGATCCTGGCCTTCCTCTGAGGAGACCTCTTGAACCCAGAGCTCCAAAATGTTGATGTTGTTGTGTGCCTTCAAGTTGGTTCCAACATATGGAGACCCTATCCTGGGGTTTTCTTGGCAAATTTCTTCAGAAGGGAGTTGCCCTTGCCACCCTCTGAGTCTCTGAGAGAGTGTGACTCGTCCAAGCTCACCCAGTGTGTTTCCATGGACAAGTGGGATTCGAACCCTAGTCGCTAGAGTCATAGTCCAACACTCAAACCACTACACCACGCTGGCTCCAAAATGACCTCTCTATAAAAAAATGACTTTATTCATGGTGGCTCCAGATTTCTGGGCCCAAGGATAAGTTGTAGCCCCTGTATTGCAAGCACCCCTATGTTCCATGGGGTGGCTTACTCTGGAGTAAGTTGGACTCTCCCTACCCCTCCAGGTTTCTTAGCCCAAGAGAGCAAAGTTGGGTTTACTTTGGAGTAAATGCACTCCAGGGTTGGAGGTGAGAGTCAGTACAATGGAGTTCAGTTGGTGTAACCTCTGAGTAGGCACAACCAATGTGGTGTAGTGGTTTGAGCATTGGAGTAAGACACTGGAGAACAGGGTTTGAATCCCAACAATGGAAATCCATTGGGTGAGCTTGGGTAAGTCGCACTCTCTCAGCCTCAGAGGATGGCCATTGCAAACCACCTCTGAACAAATCCTGCCAAGAAAACCCTGCAATAGATTCTCCTTAGGGTCACCATCAATTGGGAATGACTTAATGGCACAAAACAACAACGCAAAGGCACACTATGGCACTGGTGCCCTTAGCAGGTTGCGGTGCAAGGGAATCGTGCCCACTTTGGCAAGAATTGCCTCTAAACAGATGAAGAGGAGGACAACAAGGAATTACTTTTGGACTGCAGCTCCCAGAAGCCACAGCCAACGTGTCCATTGGGTAGGGGATGCTGGGCGCTGGGGTCTAAAAATAAAGTTATGTTTTCCCAGAGCTTGCTTCTGAGTATGAAACAAATTGGGTTGCAAATGTTTTTGCATGTATTGGTTTTACAGTGCTGTATATTAAATTTGTTGTTGTTCCGTGCCTCCATGGGGAGAAGTGGGTAAGAAGTAATAATAATAATAATAATAATAATAATAATAATAATAATTACTGATAAGTACAGGTAGCCAGATACAGACAAGGACACACTGGATGGTTATGTAGCAGGGAAGGTTTTTACTTTTTAAAATGCTTCAGGCACTGTTTTCACTTTTTAAAAAATGGTTTCAACTACATTGTGGTTTTAACTTGCATTTCAATATTAGTGTTGTATTATTATTATTATTATTATTATTTAAAAAAACTTTTGCAATTAAGGTTTTAGTTTTATCTTTTTAAATGATTGCAAGCTGCCTTGAATCCCATCTGGGGAGAAAGGTGGGATATCAATCACATTGATCAATCAATCAATCAATGGAAATTTTGACAGGTGTAGATAGTGGTAAATTCCACCCCTGCGTCTCAGTTTTCCCTGCTTACAATTATCTTAGCCCAATTTTCAGGGTGTGCATTTTGGGTGTGTGTTAGATTTTCCTACTGTGGTGCCCACCACCTTACCAAGCTTTATCTTTTCTGTGCACCAACTTATGGAGACACTAAGTCAAACCCATCAATTGGGTTTTCTGGGGCTGAGAGTCTGTGACTCACCCAAGCTCACTCATTGTGTTTTCATGGCCAAGCAGGAAATCAAACCCTGGTCTCCAGACTCTTGGTGCAATGCACAAACCACTACACTATGCTGGCATGCTGCAAATGAGCTCATACCACTTTCTCTTGCCATTTTTGGCTGGATTTTAGATGAAAAAAGGCCAGGTAGGGTGTGAGGAAGCAAAACTGCTGTATTTGCATACAGTTTTCTTGCATTTTATTTTGGAGCTGGAAAAAAATATATAATCCAAACATTGTCTTGAGATTTATTAAAGTTTCATGGGGCTTTGATGGACTGGCAGAGAGGTGCCAGAGCCACACCAGTATAGACTGGGGCCACACTTTCCTCACCAGTGGACTAGGGATGATGATGCTTGTATCTATTCTGAATATCCCAAGGAATGTAAGGTATGACCCCATTGAGTTCTAGGCATTATGCCATGCCTACTTGTATGTGACATTGTAGTTTAAGCATTGAACTAGGACTCTGGAGATGAGGGTTCAAATCCCGGCTCAGCCATGGAAACCCACTGGGTGACCTTGGGCAAGTCATACTCTCTCAGCCTCAGAGGAAGGCAATGGCAAACCTCCTCTGAAGAAATGTGGCAAGAAAACCCCATGATAGATTCGCCTTAGGGTTGTTGTAAGTCAAAAATGACGTAAAAGCAACATGAAACAACAACATGAACATATTTCTTCCTCCCAGCTGCTACTTGACGAAGGGGGGAATTGAAAGCTAAACAGCTCCGTACATTGTGTTGTTATGAATTGCTTTGCTTTATGGGGATCCTAGGAAAGAGAGACCTTTGAGACTCCCAGTTATGAACAGCCCTGCTTTGACTTTGCAAACTTGGAATAACGGTGGCTCCCTTGATTAATAAGTCGATCAAATTGTGATGCAGTGCCTACTGCTTTCCACTTTACCAAGCATTACCATCTTTTCTAGTGAGCCATGGCATCTCACAATACATCCAAAACCCAATAAATTCAGTTTAGCCATGTTGGCGTCTAGGGGTACATCTACAATGTAGAAATGATGTAGTTTGACTCCACTTTAACTGCCATAGCTCCATCCTACAGCATCCTAGGATTTGTAGTTTAGTGAGGCACCAGCACTCTTTGGCAGAGAAGATTAAGGACTTTGCAAAATTGTAAATCTCAAGGCTCCATAGGTTGCAGCTACAGCACTTAAAGTGATGTCAAACTGCGTTATTTTAACAATGTAGATGGACCCCCAAGAAGAGTTTGGGCTAAGGGTGCCACTTGCCAGGTAAAGGACAGGGCTCCTGTTTTGTGGGAAAGGGAATTTTAGCAAGCATTGCTTGCATGACAAGCAACACCTGCTGAAATCCCTGCTTCTACGCAACCCCTGCCTTATTTCATCTTGCAACTCTAATTTGCTAATTCAGGCTTGATTTGCTCTCAGATTCATTTGTCTTTTTGGAGGTCCATGGTATCTGCATTACCACATTTCAAATGAGTTCATGGAGTTGCTATAGCCCCCATTAAACTAAGGCTGTCATATTTTGGCCACATCATTTGAAAAGACAATGATGCTAGGAAAAGTGGAGGGAAGGAGAAAGAGATGGAGACCAGAAGGATAGACTCAATGAAGGAGGTCATGGGTCTGAATCTGCAAGAACTGAGAAAAATAGTGGAAGATAGGAGTCTTGGAGATGTCTCATCCACAGTCATCATGAGTTGAGATCTTCAGGTAGTAATGACTTGTATACCATAAAAGTGCTCATCAAAATAAGGATCATGAAGCCCTTCTGATTTCACTGACTGCAAGTCCCAGCAGCCCCAAATGTGGAAGAATGCTGGGAGTTGCAGTCCAACCACATAGGAGTATTTCCTATCCAGTCTAAATGTTAATCAAGACAGGAGAGTTGCAGCAAGCAGCCAAAACCTTGGACTAGGGACCAGTTAAGAGTGGCATCAAGTGAGAACAGACTCTCCCATTTCAAGAAATATCAAGACATTTATTGATATTCTGTATCTGTATATAACATTTGACAAGCATTTATGTTTGGAACAGCTTCATACACCATGGAAGAATTTAAACTGAGGTGGTATATAGACTATCCCTTAATCACTTTGTCTCCTTTTAAGATACAGAAATAGTCAGAGAATACTCACAATTAAAAACAAAATGAAATAAAACAAAAAGAACTTTGGGGTACCATGCAACATTCATCCCCATTGCAATGCTTGAAACATCCCTGTGGGTTATGCTATCCCAGGGTCCTTTCACATTACACAATTATAAGGCTATGATGGTCTTGTCCTATGGAATGGTGGGACTGACAGTATAGGGAAGGTACTTAGAATACTTTGCCTGAGAGCTCTAGTGCCTCACCAGATTCCAAAGTCCATGATTCCATAGGACACAACTGCGGCACTTAAAATGGAATCCAAGTGCTACAGTTGTCCACTATCTCCATCTTAAAGGAAGAGATAGTTGAGTTGAAAGAAAAGAGAGCTCAGGACAGTGTTCCCCAAACTTTGGTCCTCCAGGTATTTTGGATTTCAACTCCCAGAAGCCCTAGCCAGCTTGGCCAACAGTCAGGAATTCTGGGAGCTGAAGTCCAAAACCTCTGGAGGACCAAAGCTTGGGGACCATTGGCTTAGGATCGACCTCCTCTTTCTCTGGTCTACTCACATCCATCAAAGCTGTTGGATTTCGTCACCCCCCCCCCACACACACACTTGTTGGTTTCATCAAAGGCACGTCTCCGTCTCACAAGAAGATAAAGGACAGCAATAGACAAGGAAACAGCATCCTCCTTTCAGGTTTTGTTTCCCATCGTCATAAAATCTAGCTTTGAGTGTCATTTCTGCAGCAGGTTTGCTAACTTTCTTCATTCTTGGTGGTTCTCCAGGTAGACCACAAAAGCTAGACCGAGGTTTCTTCTTCTATGATAGTCTCAAGGACAGTTCTAGGAGGAACAACGACAAGCCTAGGAGGAAGTCTAGGAGGAACATGGGAAAGTCCAGGAGAAACATGGACAAGCCCAGTAGGAAAATGAGAAAGTCTAGCAGGAACATGGACAGGCCTAGGAGGAACACTATCCACCTCTGTTGTCTCTGTTGCCTCCTCTTCCTTTCTAGTTTCTCTGCAAAAATATTTCAGGAGACATGTTCGGATTGATGGAGAAGCAACGTTCTCGGCTTCTTCTGGCTGCCTGTCCTGGCCGAGGAGACAACGTCGGGACTTGCTGTGGCACATGCAAACACAAAAGCCCAGGGAAAGAGTAATAACAACTCCGAGAAAAAACCAGGCACCGTTCGAAATGGCTGGAAAGAGAAGAAAAGACAGTTGTGAATTGTCAGCTTTCCCAAATCCTGACTTTTTCAGCTCCCATTCAGTCCCTTTGGGTTTCTCTGTTTAGCCCAACATGACAAGACATACCCTCCAACTGTCCTGATTTGATAGGAACAGTCCTGATTATTCCTCTGCCATCCCACTTTGTCAGCTTCATCTAAAATGTCCTAGTTTCCTCTTCCTACTTCCCCTTTTGTCCTCAGTTTATTTCAGTTGCTGCAAGCTGAGCTCAGGGTGCAAAAGTAGCTTCCGCTCAACTCTGCTAGAAGG